ATGATGATGATGATGATGATGATGATGATGATGATGATGATGATGGTGGTGGTGGTGGTGGTGGTGGTGGTGGTAATGATGAAGGAAGACGACATGACGACGACTTTAAAACTGAAAGTTTATATCAGGCTGTTGAAAAACCACCCACGTCTCCACTCCAAACTTCAACGCTACTTTTTCTACAGTGGTGATCATAAAGACGAAGACAATGATGACGATGACGCAGACGACGATGACGCAGACGACGACGACGGTGATGACAACGACCAAGAAGACAATTGTAGTAGCGGTAGCAGTGAGGCTTTAGATAATATAGAAACAAAGTGCAACTCTGCTGGCTGACTTTGAAACATCTTAATAGGAAGTGTAGATATCATGAATCAACCGCTTGGAGCTCCATTCGGCAAGGTGCAGTAACATGTACACGAGACGGATTGCATTACGAAGCGAATCTGAAGGAGAAAGATGGGGCGACGAAGGACACCTAACCACGAACACTCTACACCTTCACAACAAGCAACCTTAGGCAACTTTTTCTTTGTTTCAGTAAGAATTTTACAGTACTTGCAAAACAATTAGGTCATATAAGTGCGGAAGATTAGAGGTATTACAAGAGAAAAACAAAGACAAAAGAAGAAGGAGGAGAGATATTACGGACAACAGATGTTTGAGTTTGATAGGAAAGAAGGAGCAAACCACACCAAGGCACAAGCCATCCACCCAACTTTCGGCAATTCTTATGGGCTATACTGCTAAACCGTCGTGACTTCGTTAGTATTAGTGTTAGTATATTATTATGCTTTACGGCGCTCGTAAATGCATAAGGTCATATGAGCGCCAGAAGATTAGAGGTGTTACAAGAGAGTAACAAACATAAAAAGAAGAAGGGGAGATAAGGACGATAAATGTTTGATAAAAAAGAAGAAGCAAACCACACCAGAGCACTCGCCAATCACCCAAGTGGTGACTTTCGTGAGGGGATGCTAAGCACATGAGTGAAGAGTGAGGCTGTGAAGTGAAGCTGTGACAAATCCAATGACTTCACGCAAACGAAAGGCAAGTTTTCGGAGAGGAATGGCTTGAGTCAACACGGAAATCTATAAATCAAACCGGGCCATTTCGTAACATCTCTCTCTCTCTCTCTCTCTCTCTCTCTCTCTCTCTCTCTCTCTCTCTCCCTCCACCCCCTCTCTCCTTCTCTAGGTCTGTGAGTACATATGCGTGCACAGACATACACACAGACAGACACACACACACACATATACACACACACACGTATGTGCGTGCGTGTGTGTGTATGTATGAGTATGTAAATATGGGCGTGAATATAAATTAAGTAAGTATGCTTCTGTAAAGCTGATGTGTGAGAAAGTGCATGTGCTTGTCTATTTGTCAGAGCGTATCCAGCGAGTGTGCGTGTGTTTGCGGGTGAGAGAACATGCGCAGAAATTATCATCTTCACGTTCGTAACTGACATCAGAAATTTGTTGCCCACTGTCCACCTGTAGCAGGAAGAAAGGGGGCAAACAGACCGCATGATTGAACTCCCCTTTAAAAACAAAACAAAACAAAAACGTCATGCACGCAAAAGATGTCAACTCCGTCCACAAGGCAATGAAAGTCCTTTGGGGGTCAGCAAAGCGGTCAGGCGGACAGTCAAAATTTAAAAAAAACCCACCAAAAAAACAGTAGAGAGAATCAGACAGACAGACAGACGGACGGACAGACAGGCAGGCAGGCAGGCAGACAGACAGACAGACAGACAGACAGACAGACAGACAGACAGACAGACAGACAGACAGACGT